CACTTGGCTTGCAGCCTAAAATTGTGATGGGCAACCTAATTTTTGCCGTAGGTTGCCCACTGGTTGATGAAGAATTTGTGACTCTTTTTCTCTCTCCTGTAGGCCGAAGGTCGCATGGATCGTAGTGAAGAAGAGAATCAACACTCGATAAAGTCAATAAGATGTACAAGAAAGTTGAATCATGGTGAAAGTGGGTTGATATTAAACATTTAACGCCTTTTTTCTTGCTCCTGTAGGCCGAAGGTTGCGTGGATCGTGGTGAAGAAGAGAATCAACACGCGTTTCTTCGCCCAGGCCGGCCGCGGACTCCAGAACCCCGCCCCTGGTACCGTGGTGGACACCGAGGTCACACGGCCTGAGTGGTAAGGTTTATTTTGTTTTATTTATTTGCACAGAAAACGTGGCGTCTGTGTGGTGTAGTGGATAGAGCGTCTGACTGTCAAGCAAGAAGACCCAGGTTCAATCCCCAGGGCTGGACCCAGACATGTTCGGACATGCACCCAGATGTTGTGCCCTTGGAAAAGGCACTTAACATGCATTTCCCCCCTCAGTTAGAGGGTTCCTGGGCCCTACTAGGGTTTGGGTTGGCGTTAGGAAGAGCATCCAGCCATAAAAATCCTGCTTCAAAAAAAGACTTGTACTTGGTGCAAGCACGTCTCGGGAAAAATGACATTAAATTCGGTTGGAAAAAAAAAGGAAAAATATATACTTAGTAAGATGCAACATAGTGCTGGAGCAAGGGTGAAGCCTGAAAGGTTTATAAGAAGCCTTTTTTCAAACCAACTTTTGATCATTATGCAGTTAAAACGATTGAAGAAAACACTGATATAACAATTCTGATACAATTCAGTTTTTGTGGATAGTGCAATAAATAATACATTGGATGGACAATGTTGAATAATATGTGACCGAGCTGTGAGTATGTTCTGTTGCTTTCTTCAGGTATGACTTCCTGCTGATGTCCCAACACCCTTACACTGGTTGAATGATAGCATTATAGCAAACTATGCTAGCTTCAACACCAAGGTTTAAATCTGTGCATCTGTTCTCTTGTCTTCCCTTTCAGGTACGACTTCTTCCTGGTGTCTCAGTCTGTGCGCCAGGGAACGGTCACTCCCTGCCACTACAACGTGGTGTGGGACACCTCCGGCCTCAAGCCTGACCACATGCAGAGGCTCACCTACAAGCTCTGCCACCTCTACTACAACTGGCCCGTAAGTGTGCGTGTGTGTGTTTGTCTGTCTGTCTGTCTGTGCATGTGTGTGTGTGTCTGTGTGTGTGTGTGTGTGGGTGGGTGGGTGCGCACCCGCAGAGTTGTGTGCCGCTAGTTTTTCTGTGCCAATGGAAGGGTTGCAAAGCAGTAGGGGTAAGGGGGTGAAGTCTGCCGCCGCTGAGTACCTCGTCGTAACATTTTGTTTTCCATGTTTTTTTCAGGGCACCATCCGAGTCCCAGCCCCGTGCCAGTATGCGCACAAGCTGGCCTTCCTGGTGGGACAGAGCATCCACAAGGACCCCTCACTCAACCTGGCCGACCGCCTCTACTTCCTGTAGGTCACAGGTCACGACCCAGGTCAGGGGTCAACCTGGCATCTACTTCCTGTAGGTCACAGGTCACGACCTGAGGCAAGGGTCATGGGTCAGAGTTTAGAGCCAAACAAACAGGCGGCTGACAGAAGGGCCCAGGCAGCTGAAGTTCCTATATCCTGTTCGCGTTGTTTTGTAGAGAGTTCTGTAGTGTTAGGATGGTCCGTTGACCATTAGTAATCATGTATACCTGCCAAAGAAACGTTGTTGGTGCTTAACTAGAGAAGGCACGTTTGTGCTGTTTAGAGAAGGCGACGCAGAAAAGTTACTAACCAAGGGAGACTTGTTGATGATAGTTTAAGCAGTGGATATGAGAAATGTGCCTTACTAGTTTCATGCTGAATTTTGTTCCCTTTTTTTCTTCTCACCCTTCAGTGTATGGTTTTGTAATGCAACCTGAGAGAAAAAAGCCTCAAAGAGTTGTGATAACAGAATGAACAAGCAGCAGGCAAAAATCTCTATGCAGACGTGCATTCAATAGCTGTTGTTAGTCTCTCCAATAAGTTGCATAAGTCCCTTTTTGTTTACCAGAAGAAAATTGGCAGGAACCAAGTACTTCTTTTTCTTAGTAGCATATTTTTGGTTTACCTTCTCCCTGCTGCCTAATCCCATAACCAATACAAGTTTGGTGCCAAACAGCTACCCTAGAAGGCGGAGAGTTAAAGCTGTAGCATTCCAAGATTTCTTTTTTTTCCCTTTGCTACAAGATGGAAGGTTTGAGTTGGCGAGCATCTTATGTTTTAAGGAGAGTTGAACAAGAAAGTGCCTCAAAGAAAAAATTAACGAAAGTACAAACTGCAGAGTATTTCATGCCATGATAGAGAGTGTGCCCAACAATTTTGTTAACTTTTTGTCTCCGTTAACCTGTTAACCCATAATTGTTTTTTGTTCTTTCTTTAGACAGAAAAAATTTATGAAACTGCAGAGTATTCCACGCCATGGTACAGAGCATGTCCAACACTTTTGTTGACTTTTTGTCAACGTTACCTGTTAACCCATAATTGTTCTTCTTTTGTTAGATGATCGCACAACATTGATGCCTATTTGACCAGACTTATTCTTGATTTCGCCAAACCCTTACATTCCAAAGGCAGTTTGTACTTAATAGCAAATTCAGTATTGAACACTTACGGGACCAAGAGTCTGCTGGTTATGCAAGTACATGTAGTGGATTTTGATATCCTGAGGGAGATATTCTTCATTCTTTAGAAGCCTGTTTTCAGAATGCCAAAAAACAGTTACCAAGCAGCAGCTACTACTGTTTTCAGAATGTTGACTGAGTAGTTATTAGAGCTAAAAAGACCGCAATCCTTAGTTGATGTGTGCGGAGGAAAAGACACAAGATTGCAGGAAGAGAATCTGGCAGATTTCCTTTACATTTTCTTTGTTTCTATGATCAGACAGCCACAACATGGAAGCAAAGGCTGGCATATTCTCTGTATTTGTTCTGTACCTTAGACTAGTTTTCTCTTTTCGTTTGTTTGTTTGAAGAAGGAAAGATATATCTAAAGGGACCAAAGTGAAGAGATCATAAAACAACATATATTTTGTATTACTACTTTTCTTTATTAAAAGTTTTCATGACATATGGCTGCTGACTGTTCCATTTTTGTTTATTTTTTACTTCACCTTTAATGCCCTTGCATCTAGCCTATGAAGTTCATGCCTATCTATACAAAGATCAATGTTATAAGTAAAGGTCTTTACTTTTAAAGGATCACCACAATACTTTCTGTCATGCCTAAATAACAGTAGAGAGTATCTTTTTCACGGTCTAGTCTGATAGTTTCAGTCATACAGTTCATACACATGTACATACATGTCTAACTATGAGAAATATATACTTGGATATGATACAAAATATACACTACAGAGAATGATTTAATCTTCAATCTTTTCGATTTTTTCTAGTGTTGCGGAGAGAAAATCTGGATGGTACCTAGGCTAGATGACTATTGAGAAATGCCATAAAATGTTAATACATGTTTGACAGTTTGACCAATAAAGAACAATCATTGGTTTTCTCAGCTAAAAAGAAAACCAAGTTTTCTTATTATATAATAAATTCTACATCATGTTCATACACTTCCTGATGAATGTATTTTGAAACCAGATCACAAGAACTACTTGTTGGCGGGGAGCGGATCTTGGGAAGCGGACTAAAGCTGTAACAAGGCTGGATACCAGGCTAAAGAACTACAAAGTTGCACTACCTAGCTTGCACTATCTCAGTCACATAAGTAATTTTAGATTGTCCTACAACTACTTAATAATTCACCAGTGCACCTACCTAACTACAGTCACAACATTTTCCAACTGTATTACTCCAAGAAGGCAGACGTTTCAAAGAAATATATACTGTGTATCTATAGGTAACACAGATAAAGCACTAAGTCTTCACAATAATGCACACAATTTTTTGACAATATATATACATGTATATATGTCTATGAGGAATGTTTTGTACATCTATAGTTACTGTATACTACATGTATACTGTCTTCACAATAATCAAAGACTAAAACACAAAAAGTCGTGTATAAAAAAAGACTGACATTTTGGCCATGTGACACAAGGAACTAGCCTGGGTACCATCCTACTTGTATACCGGGGCTCCCACACTCGCTTCCCTACTTCTTAGGGAAACGAGTGTGGGAGCCCCGGTATACAAGTAGGATGGTACCCAGGCTAACAAGGAACATCACAGGCACTAACACTTAAAATCTTTCTTTAGAATTCATGGAAGCACTTTAAGATACGAAAAAGGTTTGCTTTCCTAACTTTGCATTCAAAATCAAGATTTTGCTGTGAAAAGTCACATGTTGGCAAACTTTGAAAAGTGCAAAAAAATGCAAGATAGCTTTCCACATAAATAAATGTACAAAAAGGGCATACATGTAAATATTACTAACATTGTCAAAGTTGCAA